CTGCCTTTGAGTACTTATGAGACCACCCCAGGGGAAGGGTGCCCAAACCCAAGGGCTCTGACTTCCAAGCCCCTGACTCCCTTTCCCATATTTTTTCTGGGCACTGCTCTGGGATCCCTGGGATATGGAGGGGCATTCCTATGAAGAGTTATTTTCTCACCTGCTGGCCCCATCAGCGTTAGAGGTTCACTGCGATGTGACCAGATGTTAGGATATGCCTCTATGCGATAGCTGCAACTGTAGGTCCCTGTACCTTTCCCATCTACATTACTGATGATGAAGTCTCCATCCACTGAGAATTTTTGAAATGTTTCTCTTTCTTCCCATTCCAGAGAAAATTCAAGTACTGGATGAGATACTCGGCATTGGAGAGTGATGGCTTTTCCTAGCTTGAACACGGTGCTGGGCCAAGCTGACAAGGAGGGTTTGGGGGGCTTGTCTGAAACCAACCCAGAGACCAGAGTTAGAAGTGACTTGAAACCCAGTACTTTATCCCACCAAATGTTTCTGACATTTCCATTTGCTCTTCTCTTCCTTTTCAATTTCATTTGATCAGTAGCTTCAATATTTGACTATGTATTAGAATTCCTTTGCCCACCCCTTGGTGCTGTAAAGACTCTTGATTTCCTACCTTCAATCAGGAAGAATTCATATTTGTAAGCTTCCCCTGACTTGAAGAAAAATAACCTTCCCGGAGGTCACAATGAGGCTGGGCCATGCTAACAGGCAGTTTGAGGAGCAATCCTGGGAGAGAAGGTCCCTAAAGTTTTTACAGAAAGTTCTATAAAGTTCCTAGTGTGTTTTTCCTTGGCTTATAGCTCTGAGAGGGTACAAGGCTACTAGCTCCTTCTTAGAACACTGTAATAACAGTCAAATAAAACAGGTTGATAATAAAAACAGTTGTTAGCACTTGCCTACAACCACAAGCTCCACCGTGTTGTGTGATGTCATCCTAATGGAAGTCTTCCAGGTGAGAAGATGGTGACAGCTATAGATGCCAGCATCACTGTAGGTCACATTGTTGAGGGAGAATGACTTATTGTCATTGATGCTGGTGGCATCCAGGAACTGAAGTGGTTTATTGTCTCCTTTCTTATGAAGTGCAAGCCCCACTCCATCCATTGCTCCTCGGCACCGTAGGCTCACATTCTGACCCATCTGGACCACAGGACTAGGCTGAGCAAGTAGCCAGGTCTTGGGAAAAGTGTCTAGGACGAGACCCAAAATATAAAGGGCTAATAATCTGATATTCCCCTCCCACTACTTAGGATTCTTTTCCTCCTCTTTTTCCAGACCACCCTTGGAAAATCCCTGCTTAAGCAGTTATACAAATTCTGCTTCCTTCTCCACTGTTAGCTCTGGTGACATGATTCAGTTTATCAGGGAACCCAAAGTGAACTTTCTATCCTTAGCCCCAACATAGGTTACATGGCTTACCCCTCTCTTACCAGTTACCCAGATTTTCAGGACACCACTAAGAAGTGAACCCCTGTATGACCCATCATAGTAAAAACAGAGGTAATGTCCAGCATCATGGATCTTCAAAGCCGGGAAGAAGAAATATGCCTCATTTTTTATTGGTTTCTTGTGATAAAAGGACTTCTCCGGGTCTTCAAGCTTCATTAGAGCAAAGGTCATTCCATAGATTGGCCCTTGGCACCTGAGACTCAGGCTTTCTCCAGGTGCCATGACGGGCCCAGGATAGGCTGTCAGAGTTGGTTTGGGATAGAGTCCTAGAAAGGGAAGAGACCCTGAAGTTAGAGGTAGGATGATTCTTCCCTATTGTCTTCTGTTTTATATTTCTAGTTTCTTTGGACAAGAAGTGGTAACTGAAGTTTATCTTCTCCCCCCTCTTCTTTCCTTGGATCTCTACCTCCTCTAGGAAATAATCAAGATGAATTCACTTATGCCCTGGCCCTCTCTTCAGACTCTATTAGCTCCACTGTACTCTAACCATATGTAGGGATGTCTCAGTGGAAGTTCTACATCCATAATTTCTTGTACCTTTAGGTCCTTGAAATGCCAGATGTAGTTCTTCCAACCACCAGAGAAACCTCTGAAAATGACTTTGATTCCATCTTTGTAATGCACGAATGCTACTGTAGTATTAAGGAGAGCTTTCGAAGGCATTAAGTTCACTTAACACCCTGCTTTTAACACGAAATTGGGAGAAGTCATTAGGGAGGGTTTGGCCAGTAAGTCTGCAACTTAAAGAAAATCTTTTCATACTCCCTTTTCCATGGATTGTTCCTCCAAGGAGACTATACTGCAAAAGTGAGGGCAAACCTCACTTATTTTTTACCAGTCCTTCTTATCCCTACCCAATGTCAGGTACACCCACTCATCCATTATGGAAACATTGACTCTTTAATACATTCACTGAGCATTTAGGATGCACCAGGCATCATGTAGGTTTAGGGGTAAGTGGATAAAGAAGACAGAGTTCCTGCCAGCAGAAAGCTCCTGGACTAGTGGGGGATACCAGTGAATAGGCAACTATGGAAGTGTGTGTTAGTGGAATCTATGCTGAAAGGGCATGCATACAACAAACATCCATCCATACACACAGCTCAAACACACAGTCTTTTATTCTTTTATCCTCAATAAAAAGCTATACTAATAAAATTTATATCTACCATTTATTGAGAACTTATATGCCAGGCACTGTACATATATTTATGCAAATCCTCACAACAACCCTGTGAGGTAGGCATTATTATTATACCAATTTTGCATATCAGGAAACTGAGGCACAGAGAGGCATTATACAGCAGGTCAGATAGATACTGTTGTCCCGTTTTTATAGAGGAGGAAACCAAAGCACAAAGAGGTCAAGCAACTTGCTCAAGATCACACAGGGAGGCAGTATCAGGGATGTAACTAAAAACCAGGATTACTGCTTCTAAGTCCAAGGTAACTTCTGTGGCACCACAACTTTCCCCAAGCCTACTTAGCTCGATGAAGAGACTAAAGCAAACATGGTCAATACCATCTAGAAACCCCCAGACCATGGGGTAGGGAAGTTGGGCCTTCTTCTGTGTTTAGAGAGGGTGCTGCCTTACTTGCTGTATTAATATGCAACCAAAGTGAATCATAAAGCCATTTCTAAAATATGGGCTGTCCCTTTCTTTGTCATTTGCTTTGTTTGTTTTTGCTCACCAGCACTAGCAACTCATTCTATTTTCCATACTTTAAAATAATAACAACAAATAAAATCCATTGAAAATTGTTAAAAATCCATTTGTAAGACTGCAGTGGCAGTGCCTGGCACATATTAGGTGCTCAATAAATATTAGTTGAATGAATGAATGCATGCATGATATTCAACAAGTATAGAGCAACAAAGCTGTGATGAGCTGAAGCTGCTGGACAGTTGGCTGGGCTCCCTCACTAGCCAAATGATTGGCTTCCATATGTCTGCCTTGCTGCGAATGAGATTCCAATTTGTATCTCAGTAAAATTTCAAATGACTCTAGATCATGGGTCTTGCAAGGCCCAGGAACTGGCTGAGGAAAGTAAAATCAGAAACCTTGCCTCAACGAGTCATGATCCCTGGGATAATAATTGTCAGACGCCAGCAGCCACGGCCACACCCACCTGCAACAACCAGCTTCAGGGGGTTGCTGGGCTCTGACCACAGGGTAGGGAGCAGCTGGATATGAGTGCGGCAGATGTAAACCCCTTCATCATCAGGTGTCATGTTGTCAATGGAGAATATGGCCACTGTCCCAGTTGGGACTTGGTAATCCACAGGCTCTGCATATCCCTCTTTAAACAGCATGAATACCAAATCCTGCAGCCAGCCATGGCAGAGGATGTTAACATTACAACCAGGAAGAGGGGGTGTCTCAGCCTGGATCCAGAAGATGGGCTTGGGCAGCTGGCCTGGAAGGAAAGAATGAACTGGATTCAGGTAGAGCAAGGGTAGTGCTGCCTAGGGAGCGGTAGAGGAGAGCGCTACTTTAAAGGAAGCTTCCTTGTATGATTCTTATTTGCCTTCCCTCCTTCCCCATTTCTGTTTCAGAGTCTACATCCCTGCTGTGCATTGCCTGATACGGAATAGGCACTTTGCATTTGAGGTCTAAGAATAAATGAATTAAACAAACCCTGCCCTGGCAAGGCAAGTTTGAATCCCAGGAGCTGGCGTTTATTCTTGGGTATCTATTTTGTCTTCTTACCTGGTGCCTCCAACTCGAGAACTTTACTGGGCTTTGACCAGCCTGTCTCCTTCCAGTAGCAGCACCTGTAAAGACCTGCATTGAACTCAGTAAGGGGACCTATGAGGAATGAAACTTGGAAGGTCTTGTAGGTAGGGCGGATCCATGTCATCTGTGTCTTATCCTTCAGCAGCAGGAACTTGCTTGATATCCGAGAGGGGCTTCTGCACCAAAGCGTGATGTTCTCCCAAGGGGCCTGAGGGTAGTTGGACTCTATCCACAGCTCTGGTTGAGATTCCATTGCTGTCATTTCCAAAGATCACAAAGATGTGAACAATCCAGCCCTCTCTCTCCCATAATGTGCCCCACAATGTCCCTTAAAATTTGCTCCAACCCAGATCCCTCCTTTTGGCTTCCCTTGGGGACAGAAGTATCTGCTTGTGTGGGGCATCAGATAGGAGCCCTAGGATGTTTGTTCAAAGACTCCAAATGAGTTGGGAGAATAAAGTGAAAGTCTGATTTCTTTTCTAAGATAAAGCTCTTAACTATTCTAGGGGAAATCAAACCCTGAAGTGAAGGGCTCTGATTCCCAACCACGAATGCAATGTATTTTGGGGATCACAAGGCAGTTATGTCCAGGGTCATGGAGGCAGGCCAGTGTCTTGGATCCTTTAGAAAGGAAGGTACTCGCTTACCTGTTGATGTCATCATACCCAGACTCAGCCCTGAAAAGAGAGATTATGGTAAAAGAGAGCTCTCTCCTTGTCCCCACCCTGGACTCTAACCCCAATACTTTCTTCTCCTTTTTCAAGGTACTCACTCATAGGGGTACCTATGACAGGGCCACTTGCCCTTCACCCCTTCCTTATACTCACGAATACAAAAGAGCAAGAGAGTGAATTTCTGCAGCATGGTGGCCCCCTCCCCTGGCCTGTCCAGGATCATGGGATCTCTGGTGCTCGATGCACACTCTGAGCCTTGAAGGGATTTTCTTCTCAGCAGGTGGTGAGATCTAAAAGAAAAAAATTGTTTTTACTCAGGGGACTTGTCTTGCTCCTTAAAGTTTAGGTTAGATCCCTAAACTGCACCTGACAACCCTACATTCTGCGCCCTCACAGACACACAGAGTATTGTTAGGTCACCTGCTACCTCCTCTTCTTGCCCCTTTTCCTCACTTGCCCATCTTTCCACCCAAGGTCTTTGCTGATATCTAAGATGTCAGATTTGTTTAAATGTCTTTCTCTGGGTCTCAGAAGCCCCAAAGGGAACCTAATACAAGCCTGCAGAAGCCTTATGGGATGAGGATGAAGGGAGGTGCAGAGAGTCACCTTTATATATATTTATATAAATACTGAGTCCTCCAACAACTTAGCAAAGGAGGCATTGCTACCATCCTCATTTTGCTGATGAGAAAACTGAGGCCTAGAGAGGATATATAATTTGCCCGAAATCAAAAGATATTAAATGTTAAAGCTCAAATTCAAATCCATGTTTAACTCCAATGCCCATAATCTAAAACCATTATTTAAATCTCCAGAAGCAGTCCTGAACCCCTCCCTCATCCATCCCACTTCAATCCACGAAGACCTTCCCTTCCGTGGAAAGCTTCAGATCCAATATTACTCTTTTTCATCTCTTACCCCTAAAAGCTCAATACCCCTATCTCAAGTAGATATTGGGGAATCAAGTTGCTTGAGCTTATTAAGATAATTAATATAAGGCCTAAATGATGATTTGGCTGCCTATGACTTTTAAACAGTTTTGTTGATTGCTCTGAAGAAAAATGGAATTGTTTGAATTTTAGGGGATATGGCAAAGATATTTGAGTTTGGGGAAGCCTTCAGATTTCCCCCTGAATATACTATTTACCATAGGCCCTGCATATACATAAGGTAGATCCCTGAGCTTTAGTGTCTCACCCCACCTCCTCCCAGAGTACCCTTTTGCCATGAGAAGGTATGTCCCCACTGCACAAATGCAAGCAAATTTTCCTTCACCAACTCTCTATTCAGAGTCTGAGGTCCTGGCTAACCCTGGCTGTTTAATCTTAGTAGAATGGGGGTAGAGGCAGCCTCTAGAACACAGAAAGGGGCTGATTTTGCTTTTCCAGACTGATCCTAGGACCTCAGCCTCTAACTTGCTCCAGTGCTAACACTGGGAAGGATGGAGAGGCATGAGGAGAGGAAGATTCATTTTCAAAACATCTGGTCTGTAGGGAGCAAGTGGACAGTGAGAAATTCAAGGAGGCACAGCTACGTTTTTGTTTTGTTTTGTTGTTGTTGTTGTTGTTGTTGTTTTGCTTTGCATTAGAGGATGCTTAATTTACCCTCTCTGTATTTTCCTTATCTGTAAAGTGGGAGAATAATATCTACCTAACATTATTGTTTTGTTGGATTAGTGATAATATATGCACAGTGCCAGGCACATAGTGAATATTTCATTTTTAAAAGCTGCTAATATTGTTCTTTTCAAAGAAGGCATCAAACCAGTGTAGGTGCCTAAAAATATTCAGCCCCCTGCTCAGTTCCTGCAGCCCCCTGCTCCCACTTGTCTCAGAGTCAGGCCAAGGCTTCAATGCCACCCTGTTGCATTGTTCCCTTGGGGCTTTGGGCCAGGATTTATTGGGGTAAGCCAGGTTCTACTGCCAAGGGAAATATTCAACCTGGGATTACACCCAGGAAATGCCATCTGAGGTGCCAGGTTTGCCACTTGGACCCCCAAACCAGGGTCTTTGCTCCTGGATACTTGAGTGGAGTCAGGGAAGCTGGGCTTCTCAGCATGACTGACCCCTCCTCAATCACAAAGGAAACTAGTATTTACATCCAACCCAAACAATGAACCTTATACCGAAGAACGTGAGAATAACCCCAAGCGTCAGGTTAATTGGCCACGCCCATTTTGGCCTTTCACCCCCCCACCCCCCACCCCCGCGATCAACTTTGGCTGTCTAGCCATTTTACCCTCCCCTGCCACTCCATCCCAAACACTTTCCCCACCCTTAGGCAGCGCCGCAGTGCTTTTGAGGGTGACATACCCGAAATATCTAATAGCTCGCCCCCTGCATAGCTTTGAGGGCTCAAGGAATCAAAGATGTTGGGCTCGGCGGGGTGCCGGGTACATGCTCCGCTGAGGGTTTGGAGGGAAGACTGAGAAGGAAAAGGGAAGATGCCTACAGTGCCCAGAGATTCTCAGGGAAGCAGGTCTGAGATCCGGGGAGGAAAGGAGAAAGGCAGGGATGAAGAGGGTGGGGGGACAGACTGGGGAGCAGTTTGATTTACGGCAATTAATTACAGCAGGGAGACTCTTTCGGGGTTTTGTTTAGGATCTGGTGGCCAACATTTTAATCTTCAGCCACCCGAACTATGCGCTCATTTGCCGGTACTTACGGTAGTTGAAGGCCCGCTCCGATGTTAGAGATTCTCCAGTGAGCTCCTCCAGATGCTGCAAACTGCCCGGCATGAGAAGAGCTGTCTAAGGACAGCCTCTCTGGCTCTGAGCCCCGCCTCCCCCTCTCCCTTGCCCGCCTACCGGCCCGCCCCAACCTCCTCCCCTTCTTCCCTCCTTCCGCCAAGCTCTGGGAGCCCACCAACACCAGCTCTGTCCTGCACCTGCAGTCCTCTGAGGACCGAGATTTCTACGCCCCACCCAGCTCTCCGTCTCGATCCTGACTCCCTGCAGATGTTGCGGGAGCCAAATTCAAGCCCCTTCCCCCTCTTCTGTCGTTCAGAGTTTCATTGGGTCACTATTCTGGAGGGGAGAAGAGGAGGCCAGCTCTTAAGACAGCCAAAACTGTAGATCCTCTCCAGTTCCCCAACTCCTTTAAAGGGATCTCAGATCTTCCTCTGCCCAATTAACGCCCTATTTGCGCATAAACATCACCAACGTGGTTTAAATGCCTATTGTGTGTTCCTCAGCCCTGGGCATCTATTATTTCTAATCTTCATGGCATCCCTACAAGACAAGTATGACTTCCCTCAGTTTTACAGATGAGGAAACTGAAACTCATAGTCACATGAGTATAAATATGCCTTTCTGGGCAAAGTTATTTAAACTCTCCAAGTCTCAGTTTTCTTATTTGTAAAATGATAATAATTGCACCTACTACCACGCAAGCTGTGGGGTGGGAATGAATGAAAACCCTCCTTGGGACACAGCAAGCACCCATTGATTCAACACATTTGTTAAGTATATTTTTTGTGGCAGGCGTTGTTTTGGATGATTCGGAGAAGATGGCATTTTCTCCTCTAAAGAAGTCTGTAGTGTAAGGATAAATTGTGATAGTGAGTAAGGAGGAGGGAGCTCTCAGAGTCAGAGGATTGCAACAGAAAAGACCAGCAAGTAAGCATGACAATATGTGTTTGGAGAATTGCAAGCACTTTGTTATAACCATGTGCTAAACTAGGGCAGTGGTAGCAGAGAAGGAGGGGAGAGCAAGGGTTCCTGAAACATTTAGAAGGTAAAATTAGACACACTTGATGGTTGTTTGGAGCACAGTAGTAGTAGTTATTATCTGTCAGGGTGGAAACATCCATGCCAATTGTCAAAACATTGACAGTATGTAGAACTCACTGTGATAGTACTAGGCACCAAGTGCTTTATAAATCTTAACTCATTTTACCTCCATAGCAATACTGTGAAATAGTTATAATTATCAGCCCCATTTTACAGATGAAAAAACTGAAACACAGAGTCATTAAGCAAATTGCCCAAGGCCAATACAGCCAGCAAGTGACAGAGCTAGGATTCAAATCCAGGCAGTCTGTATATAGAGTCTCAGGTTCTTAACCAGTACCCTAATCTGTCTCTACATTGGATAGCTGGAATGATAAAAATAAACTAAAAATAAATGATATGAAGGTACTTTTGAGACAGAAAAGCATCAATCAAATTTACTGTTAATAATGGATAAAAAAGCAACCATAGTGTCCTTGCATGGAACCCTCCCCTAACCTTACTCTCTGAAAGTCCTTGGGCTGAAGCTTGTGCTCTTGGACCAGTAGCCTGAATCTAGAGCCCAGAATCCTCACCATTCGACTGTGGAAGCCTGAGAAGGTATCGGGGATGTGTGGGTGAGAATGCCACTCCCTCTGGCCTTTTGCTCAGGGACATTAAGGAGTCTTGAAGGGACTTATTATTCAGGCTTCATAGAAGTTTCTCATTCAAACTATGGCTGGCAATTGAGATGTCAGAATCTCCGTCTCTAGGCTACCTCGGTGGGTTTTGAAACTTGCAGCCTGCAGGAAGAAACAATCTTTAGCCCACCTCCCTGGAGAATTCATGAATGGCCCAATATTATAAAGCTGGGGGTAGAGGCCAACAAGGTTTGGGGTTGGGACTTAGTGGAGATGAAGTTCTTGACATTGACTCTGCTGGCTTTCCTCCATACGGGATACCGCAGGCCTGTGGCTCTGTGACCCTGATTCTCTCTCTCTCTCTCTCTCTCACACACACACACACACACACACACACACACACACACACACACACACACACCCTCTTCAAAAAGCCTGGGCTTTTCTCCTAGTTTCTTACTCTAGCTGATATTGACTCTTCTTTCAGGAAATATTTTGAGAATGACCTTTCTTGTTTCTAATGGCCAAGCCCTCTCCATCTCTTAAACCGATAGTGGCACCAGAAAATATTCCTGAACCTCACTGCTTCTCACTTTCAGACTTTGAGCACAAAGGCTACAAGAGGGTTTCTCCTGTAAAAACTTTAGAGCCACATCTTAGAAATGATGACGCAACTGTTATCACCAGATTTTTACTGAGTTTATACTATATAGGTTGAGGCACGGAATGTGGTGGTGGAATTTACATGATTTGTTAAACAGGGTTTCTAAGCTCCACAGACTATCCACCTAGAGAGAAGAAAAGAGCAACTATTTTGCAAAACTGTATCTGGAATCAGAGGGGCCACTAGAAGAGCTTCAAGAAAGTGGAGCTCAAAAGAAGGAGGTAGAACACTAAAAGTCACAGGGTGATCTGGGGAGTCTTTCTCTGTTATTGAGTCCTGCGTAGGATAAGATTTTTAAAAACTGTCTTAAAGTATCCAAAACAGGAGAATCATGGGACAAAGCTGTTCTCTTCCCAGCGATGTGCCAAAGCTGGGTAACTCTAGTTCGGGAGGGCCCATGCATCTTATCTCAACCTAGCATTCAGTGACATAATGGTGGTAGCTTGAAATTGGCCATGGTCAGAGATTCTTTGCCACGGAAGAAGCAAATGCTACAAATCAAGTCTCCACCCCCTTCAACACAGAGCTGTTTTTAAATATTTGCTAGCAAACCACTTTTTTTCCAGTTTATGTTTAAGGATAGTGATTTTTACTGGGTTACAGGAACTCTTCCAAACTACCCAAGGCTCTGGATAAGTTTAATATACTCTCTAGAGAGTTGTGAACATTGTGCTCCATTTCCCCTCCCTCCACCTCATTGCTGTGGTAAGCCTCCTGAGGACTGTGTCAGATCACTGGTGTGTTTGGTGCATTCAAAGTCTTATCATGAGTTTTAGCACTCTGCCCCAGCCCCCAGCCAGCCCCAGCACCCATCCACTTTTGCATTGGAGAGGAGTGTGGAATAGAGAGCTGGGACTAAGGGAGTGGTGTTCTGTGACAGGGAGGTGGCCCAACCAGACAGGTAAGGTTCCAGCAGCAAGACTTGATGAAGCGTTAGACTTTGGAGGTGGGTAGTGGAAGAGGAAGCTAAGGCCAACCCACCGAGCTTCGGTTTCAGATTATCCTTTGTTAAGTATTTCAGTTATTAAGGACAGAGTTTGGTGCCCTAAGTCACTTCCAGAAGCTATAACTGAGGATATTTTCAGGACTGTGTAGGAAGCTTCCTAGGATAAACCAAATGCAAGTGATGAACCAGAAGTAAAACTTATGTAATCAAAACACTTGTAGTGGGCCATAAGACTTCAGAAGCTTACATGATCAGGCTTCTTTCTGGGTGCCTGTCACTAAGAAAACCAACAGTGTATCTAGGTGAATTTAACTTAAGGTCAATGGGGAAGAAAGAACACGAGCCATAACGTTCTGTTTGGCTCATGTACCATTTACCATAAAGTTAAGCTTCCGGTCCACTTTCACCAAATAACAATTTCCCTAGCATTGCAAGATGCCTTTTGTTTATACAAGGAACAGTGTATATCTGAGTACATGATGGGAGTGAGGGGTGTTCAGAGATAGACCTCTAAAATACAGAAGGGCTCCGAGGGTGGGATGCAAAGTGATTCAGTATTCCCTTTTCCTGTGTTAGATGAAGCTGGTGGCTCTAGAAGGAAAACGTGTAGGCTCAGCCTCACTGCCAAGGCCGGCAGGCAGAGAAGGTTCTATGAGCAGTTTAGGTCTGACCCAGACAGGTTGCTTCGAAAGGTTTGTGCCTTAAGTCTTCTCTGCCTCAGGGTTTGATTTGCCTCCAGTGTGTCCAAATTGTAGGCATTTGCATGGCAGGGAGCGGGAGAGACATGGATGCCACTCAGGAATGCACAACTGGGCTCTTTCTAATATTTACTTGGATTTAGTCACTTGTCCAAAGGAAAGTGCAGAAGTCAACAATTGGATTCTTTTATTGCCATGTATTGTATGATTAACCAATTATATAATTAAAGTTAGATAGAGATACCTAAATTGTTGGAGCAATACAAATTAACAATTTAAAAACATACCATTGCCATATTACTCACTTTTTACAATTCATTCCTAAAAATATCAGTTTACAGGCAGTTGATTTAATGTACATGCATCTCTTTGAGTACTACTTGATTTGTGCCTTGAGATATGGTCCAATTTTCTAAAAGATTCATGTACTCTCGACAGAGGTTGGAGAAAACTTTCTTTAAGCAAATTTGTTGATTGAATATAGTTAATTGTTTTCAGACTGACAGTACAAATTATTTTTTTCTTATTTGAGCTATCATATTTCAATGTCTCTGTATCTCACCTACCTTTCATTATTATCTTGCTGTATTCACTTCCTCCTTTCCACTTTTCCTTTCTTTATTTCTTCCTGTTTTCCTTTTTCTTATTCTTATTCTCCCTTCCCATGCACTGTGTGTATATGTGTGTATATATGTGTGTGCATGTGGATGTGTGGATGTACAGATATAGATATGCATAAATAATAACAATAACAACTCGGTGCAACATTGCATTTTTACTTCCTTTTCCAATGACCACTCTGGCAATTAATCATAAAAATAAGATCTACATTCTGTTAAGGAACTTGATTTTGTAAGTGAGTTTAGTCACTTATCTCCAGGAGCATTTTCTCCCCGGGCTGCACCTGTTTTCAGTAAAGCCAGTAGTTTTGGAGTTTCACTGACAAATGGCTTGAAGTCATCTTGACTGTCAAGTGTTTTTTTTTTCTCTCTCTCATTTTGCAATAGGAAAAATAGCATGGCAGGACGGTTCACTCAGGGCTTCAGACTCATGAACTTCAGCTGGCAGTAGAGTTTGCTCCAACTTGGTCTCCTGTCCACTGTTACTAAGACATAATCAGATGCCTATCCTTATTTTGTTGAAAATAACTTTTTTCCAGCAGCTTGTGGAACAATTTCTTTTTCTTTCAAGTTTAAGAATTGTACAATAATGTGCCTAGAGCTT